ACCCCCAACCGCCATTTGAGTAGTGTGGAGCTGATGAAACATATCTAGGGTGTTGATACACCATTTTAGTGATCTCCACTTGTACAGTGCTTAGTGATTCATTAGGTGATTAGCGTAGGTGCTTTACAAAGTGCTTAGGTTGATTAGACCACCGCTTATGCGCTTCCTCTAGGTTTAGGTCTAGTGTTTAATGAGGTTTGCATATCTCTTACCACTCGGTGCTTGCGCACACCATTATTGTACATCGAAGGGGCTTGTAGTCTTGCGAGATCACACCAACCACGTTTGTGGTGTGGCCGCCACCGTGTACCGGAGGGAACAAGGTCCGCGGCGTTTCGGCCAGAAGCTTGATAGTGAAGACGGCGGGGAGGCCCGAGGCTATCCACAGAGTTACCCGACCGGGAGCTTGGTCTTTGCGAGGGATTCCTTGCGAGGGGCTCAACGAGGACTAGTGGGAAGCTTGCGCGCTTCTCGATACCTTGGTAAAAATACCGGAGTCGTCGACGGGAGTTTGCATATCTCTACCTTGCTCTTTAGCTTCCGCATTTACATTGATTACATCACTCCTTTGCGGTAGAGATAGCAACACACTAGCAAAACTGTAGTTGCACATTTAGATAGTTTATCATTTACATAGGTTTTGCTAAGGGTAGAAAAAGATGTCATAGTTTAGAGTTAGATTTTTAAGTTGCCTAATTCAACCCCCCTCTTAGGCGACGTGGTCCCCTTCACCCATGAGTTGCGTGCTGTCTGTTTGAGCCAAGCCTTGGCTGAAAGCCGGTCCCCGAGGGACCCCGAGTTTATGAACCCGACAATATATCTCAGCTACACTGATCCTTTTTAAAAAAAAAAGGTGTGATACAGATCTATAACCCTTTTGCAAACTTTAGCCCCACATAAATGTGTCAGCTACAACGACATGCTCAATCTGACTCCGCAGACCATGACTCATGTATACTAATCATCCATCACTGCTCACCATGTTTATCAAGCAGTACAAATACTACATATAACTCACACATCTCCATACATATACAGATTCATCCATCAGCTCCTTGACACTCCAATCTAAGCAACAAGCTACTGCCGGATGACAAGATCAGAATTAATCTCTCAACAACAGTCTGATCACATGACCCAAACCTTTCTACGTGTAGTATGCGTGCTCATATGCACACCAATATCGCGAACTATGTTGTTGCCTAACATAGGCAACTACCAGTGACCATGGATTGTACGGTAACGCCCTTGTTATATCTGTTCAATGTAACTATGTAACGTATGAACCCCACCAAACATTTACCATGTAATACTATCCACTTGCCGACGCGCATGAAGGTGAGCGGCCTTCACTAGTATGCATACATCTAAAGAGTAAATTTGTTGTGGCCACGGTGCGGCCTCAAGGTGGCCACGTCGCTCAAAATTTTCCTGAGCGTCAGATCCTCAATCCAACGGTGCTGCTGCTCTTCCCCTGCCAAATATATACCGGCTGAAACCCTAGCACTCCCGAGCCAGGGCTCGAGCGGCGCAGCAGCTTCTGCTTCTCCTTCTGGGCTCTTCTCAAAATATCTCGCCTCCTCTTCCTCTCCCGAGCTTGACGCCTCTCCTCCCAGTCGCGGAACGCCGCCTCCACTGCCTCCGCCCCCGGCTTCCCTTCCTTCCTCTCTCCCTCTCCCTCTCTCTCCCAACGTGGCGTCGTGTGGCAGCGGGCCTCGGCGCCGTCGCTTCATCGCGTGAGGCGCGGGTGGCGCCACGCCGGCCCCGTGTTGCGCTGGACCTCCGCGTGTCGGCCCCGACGGCGGCCGTCCCCGGCCACAACGCGGCGCGTGGGTGCCCCGCCGTTGGCCGCTGGCCCGGGTGCCCCCCGACGCGGCCTTCTTCCACAGCTCTGCGTCTGCTCCTCTGCTCCACGGAACCCTAGGTGCCTGTGCTCGACGACCCCGGCTGCGCATCGCCTCTTCCTCTCCGGCAGTGGCTCCGATGGCTCAACTTGGCGGCAGATCGGTGGTGCCTCACCCCTCCACCCGCCTGCTGGCGACGGAGGCGGGTCACCCCTCCTCGCTCTCTCTCTCGCTCTCTGAAGCCCACCACTGTGTATGGATGCCTATGGGCACTTCCCTACTCTATTTGTGCTTTAGCTATAAGGTTTAGTTCCCTAGATTTAAGGATTGATTTATTCGGATCATTCTTCGGACATGGATGAGGGATTAGAGGCAAGTGTTTAGTTTTCTTTCTTTCTTAGCTTCGTTTAGCGGCACATGGATTCTTGTTGTTACCGGTGATGAACTATGCACATTGTTACTGCTGAGACTTCATCGTTCTATGACTTTGGGAGTTTTACCTTTTAGTGGTGTTTCCATATTGTTATCTACCTATCTAAGTGCCTTCACTCAGAGATTTGAATTTCATCTGTATTTTGTTCCGTATTTTACTATGTTCTTCTAACATGTTTTCCTTTTGTAAATGCAAGGTTTAGTAGAAGAGTAAAATACTTCGATGTTGTAGATCATGTGCAGGTGACATACTACATATCTGAAATATCTTCAGGTAAATTATTTGAAACCATGAAAATCTGATTCTATAGTTTTAAAGACATGAAAAATAACAAGGAAAATGGCCTATTCATACTTCTTTTGTTGTTTTTTCTGTTACTGTGAACAAAACATTCACCAGGTGAATAGCTTGTTCAAATAAATTATGAGCATCCTGCATTGCCAAGGCACTGGATTGTTGAAGGGCAACACCAAAGTGCAGAGGCACGAGCCCACGCTGAGGGGATGCCATGATGTCAAGTTCAGCGGCAGCGACTAAAGGTCGTGTTTTCTATACCAGCTATAAATTTTGGTTTGCTTCATCATGTTATTTAGGGGAACAGGACATATCATTATCTGCAATTGCCTTGGGTACAAAAGCTTTGTCTAATTATTTGTAAGGATCAGAAGGAGCTACTCCTTTTATTGGCTAGATTTGTAAAAACAATACCTGTTGCAGAGCAGATGCGAACAATATTGGAGATCAGTGTGGTGGATGGATGGTTGCATGCTATGAAAAAAGGTTGAACAACCACTCTGGGTAAGAATAAACTTATCTTTGCAATCTAATTATTTTTTTACCTCAAGGTTTTATTGTGTACTCTGGTTCACACAATCTGTTTCTACTATTAGTCAGTTTGATCGATTTATGGATCCATTTTTCCTTTCCAAATTTAGAATGTGCACTGCTGATATAAGTTTAGTCTCACATAGCCTGTCTTTTCCTAATTTCCTGATGGTGTCACTAGATTTCTAATACCAGTACTGCTTATAGATGATCTATCCCTACAAAGTACCTCATGTACCAACTTTGTGGAGATTGATTTTAATGTGTTTTGGGGCTCTTATTGTAATGCTAACATTTAAAAAAAAATGCTGCCGATATACCGATTTAGTCTTGCACGATATTGCCTCTGCTGCTATATAGGTTGCTTCGTTCTGAGGTTTGCTGCTTCAACTATTTGGCTATTTCAAACCAAGTACATTTCTTGCTATGCAGACGTTGTGCCTAATGCAAGTAGTAAGCAAGTTTAGTCCTTCCTTTACATTGCTGGGCAATTGACTAACAACGCTAAAGGGCCATAGTTTTTCCAAGATGTCTGAACAATGTTCTTGTGTGTCCTGCAATATTATAAAATTTGACACCGCATCATTGCAATGACCATTTCTTTGTACAGGTGTACAAGCTATCCATTGCTGCGGCGTGTGCCCTCACATGGCCACCAGACCGTATTGTAATACAAGTCTTGGATGATTCCACTGATCCGATTATTAAGGTAGACCTTGGTTTCAGGGACATAGTTTATCTTGATTGACTAAAAGTAGAAATATTCATATATTTTTGGGTCAAATTGTGGTTGATGTGATGTATTTTTAAACGTTAATTGTGACTTGAAATTGTAAAGGAATGATCAGTTTCTCATTTATCGAATGGGGCATATGAATGTTGATACTAATTTGCTAGGTTAAGTGTACTTGGTAATAGTCAGGTGATGCTTGATAGCCCTACAATATGATGCCCACCACCTGTTTGTTAGAGTAAGCAAACAACCAAGCAGTTCATACCTTTTCCCCACTTATATAAAAAATAGAGATAGAATGATCATATAATTTTGTATTATCTTAATGATCATATATATATGTACATACCATCCTCATGCTATGATCCTGAGTATTTGTCATGTCAGTTACTAAAGATTAGATGAGTGTTCAATCCTCGGATTTTTCTCAAATAACATATAGGCCAACTTTAATTATATCTTTTTTTCCCAAAAAAAAATGTGTGGCCAGTGGCCCACGCGCGCCCGAAGGACTAGTTTGCGCCCGAAGGACTAGTTTGTATGGTTTAGATGTGTAATGAAAAGAGAGGTAGCAGTAGCACTATACGCAAAGTCAGCCAAATACCAGGCATTAGACGTTTACTACATAAACCATTTTTTGAGCCCCTAAATTTCTTCTAAATGCGGTAAAGAGATGAGGAGCTAATGGATCGCTTCCAGAAACTGATTAAAATAATCTTCGTTTTAAAGTTGCATACCCTCCCCCCCCCCCCCAAATTCCATGTGTGTTGGAATGGTTTGATGTGAATTTAAAACTCCAACATGAATTGGGGTGAATACATAGGTATCCAAACAAAACCTACATGGATAGATAAACTCGTAAACTCTGGTACATTACTAGCAACCGTATATGGAACAGCAGCCAGCTATTAGAATCGTACCCTGACTTAAGCAAAACTGAATCCAAAATCACCACAAATTGCAGCTCAAGAACTATATGGCAATGCAGAAGGGAATTAAAGTAAAAACACACATCTAACTCAGAAGGAATCCAGCAAAGATACCAAGTCTTTAAATTTAAGATACCAACTGAAATCACAACATTGCATATGGTGACATGAAATCAAAACATAGCTTAGGCAGGGTCCCTCAAAGTGTCCGATTCTAGGTAAACTACATGTAAGATCTACTGCTTGATCTCAGCCTTCTTCTTCTGCCACAGCCTGTCCAAGGAGCCGTCTGCGTCACCCTGTGCACCACAAAATATGAAATCAGAATCCACAACCAAACAGAGCAAACAGGTAACTGGATAATCCACTTGACTAACATATAAACCATAACAAGAAAATATGTTCGCTAGCTGGACTAGGCGCAAACAATGACAGTGAAGGAGTTCAATGCGTCTGAAAATCAATCTAAGAACACATACAGGTAATAAAGTTTGCATCTGAAAATCAATCTAAGAACCAACTCTGAATTTGAACAAAACTACATAATGCCTAAATACCAGGCTAGGAATTAACCAATACCAAAGCCATATAAATCAAACAGGCAAAGAATCAATTCAACTGAAAAGTTAAAATGGATGCTGAAACAATCTTTCCATATCAATGCACTCTACATCAGGTGTCGACAATATGAAACTCAGGAAACACACATTTGCGGTAGAAAGTTGCATGTAGGCATTACATTCAAGCTCTGAATTTTATGGGCTACACACAATGCAATAAGCATATCATGGACTATCACCTGAGCACGGACAAACCCAGAGAGAGCAAACGTGGTGAAGCGACCATCGTACAGGCCATTCGCATCCAAGTGACCAATGTTGATCTGCACAGAAGCATGGTCCTTGGCAGTGATAATCCTGTTCGTGGCCGAGCTGCAAGGACAGAAACTCAATCTTAGCACACAACAAAACCAACCATGTATAGCAGAAACATTTCAAAGTACAAGATGATGAGGCAAACGTACCACTTCCTGGGGACGTAGAGGTCCACCATCTTACCCTCCTCGTTCTGCATGGTGACAGTTGGGGGAACTACCGCAAAGGCAACTGAAATAGATGAGAACAATCAATCAGGCACATCAAAAGAGAAGAGCACTATGCACTCGGAGGACTCATTCAGTTCTGTAACAATTCCAATTTGATGAACGAGGCAAGTCTATATTCATAACTATGCAAAACAACTGAAGTCCAATTCGGGCCCCCAAGATGAGGCATAACTAAGACTGAACTATACAGATCTCAAAGTAAAGCAATTCTTTGCAATTCAACAAAAGGATTGGAATCAATCCATCCATGCAGCTAAAACACCAAATACCAATAGTTAATAATCCCTTCCACCTCAGGCACGATTGCACAACAAATGGTAAAAAAAATCGTGCTAGTTGATATGCTAGCAGGTAGCAGCAAACAAAACGACGGATCCTCGTAAACCAACACGAGGAGATCTCAAAGCGAGCCCTTGCCTAACAGTCAGGCACACGCGCTAGAATGGATAGGCAACAGATCAGCGACGGCTTGGGGATGGAGAGAGGGCACGCACCTTGATCTCGAGAAGGGAAGAAGACAACTGCGGCGGCGGCGTGAGGGTTCGGGGGTGGGAGACTTGCTGGCATTTATATCAGAGAGCGGGTCGTAAACCCTAGTGTTCGACTCTGGGACCACCTGCAGCGTCATGTTCCTTAGGTTGGGCCGTGTCGCAGTGCGCCTTTCTTCGTAGTAACTAGTTCATCAGTAATGGGCCTGGCCCAACATGCGAAAACAGCCCGCGCCACCTACACCCGGTTCTGTTCCGTTTCCCTCTTCCTCCCCGCCCAACCCAAACCAAAAGCAGACAGACCGCGGCGGAAGGGGGGCAGGCGGCGGCGCCGCCGATTGCGGCCATGGAGCTGTCGATGAGCGGCGGCTCACTGCGGACGTTCGGCCGGTGCGTGACCTTCCTCGCGCGCGTCGCCTCCGAGCTCGTGCTCCAGGCGCACCCCGCCAAGGTTCGCAGCCCCTCTCGTCGCCTCCCGACCGCCGCGTGGGGGTCCCCTCATCCCCCCTTAGTCTTACGAGCTCTCTTCTCTGACGTTTAATCAGCTGGAGATGCACACGCTCAACTGCTCGCGGTCGGCGTACGCTTCGGTCTCCCTAGCGCGCGACTTCTTCGACCAGTACACCCTCGACGCCGCGGCTTCGGCGCCGTCTTCCACGCCGCTGCAGTGCAGCGTCCTCCTCAAGTCCCTGCTCGCCGTTCTCCGCACGCCGCGCTCGACCGACTCGCCGTCTCACTCCCAGAATCCGACGCACCCAAGCTCCAGATCACCCTCCACTGCCTCAACGGTGCGCACGCGCTACCCTCTCCCTTCCTATCCCCATCTAACCTCTAAGGTTTCCACTAAGAATTTTTTGCGGTCGTGTAACATTTCCCCAGTCTTGTGAATTTCGTGCTTTCGGCGCGCTATTCTCTGCACTCCAGCCAGTTTTTTTTTTTAGAGTTTTTACTATTTTGGCGGGCTCTTCTTCCACTCAAAGCTCTAATTTCTCCCAGTTCTTTTTGTTCTGCGTTGTTAAGGTGTGAGGAAGACGTACTGGATCGTGTGCAGCGCGGAGCCTGAGGTGCAGTCGCTGTCGCTAGACCGGGGACGTTTCCCGAGCCGCCTCGCCATCCGGCCACGGGAGCTCGCGCGCCTGCTGTCCAACTTCCAATCCTCGCTGCAGGAGCTCACAATCATCGCCACAGATCCTGCTTCAGGGCTACCTGATGCCGGCGGGGACGTCGGGGGCAAGGCTGTTGAGCTTCGGAGCTACAATGACCCGACAAAAGGTACTTCTCTTCCGTTGTTTCTGGATTGGTTGTGGACGTTGTGTTCAGGCTAGTGATTGGGCTGTGAAACTGTGGTGGCTTTGGGGGTCTCAGATGACTGTGACACTAGACTGCACACACAACTGTGGATCGACCCTGCCGAGGAGTTCGTGGAGTTTGTTCATGCTGGTGATCCGGTGGATGTCACCTTTGGGGTAAAAAAACTGAAGGTGATCAATGATCTATCCCTTGCTCTTGTGATGGTAAACAGACTGTAATATGATATGCCTTTAATTGGAGAATAACTTTGTTGGAGCAGCAAGGAATTATGGAAAATATATGTCTGTGACTCGGCACATGAATTACATTTGCAACTCCCTACTATCGTGAATACAAGAAACATGTTTGCAAGTTAAAACTCCTTTCAGTGTATTTCCAAAACTATTATGTCTCTTGGATAGAAGTTTGTTAGTTCTTATATCTCACAGTTGCTAGAAGGATCTTACTTCATGAGTCATGATAACTGGTATGCTTAGAAGTTCATATATTCTGTAGTGGATTTATTTGAGACATTTGATGCCGACGATTGCTTTCTCATCCTGTAATACTAATGGAGTCTTCGCATTTTTCTTTCTTTTTTCCCCTTCCATACTAGGCTTTTTTAACATTTTGTGAAGGATGTGAGGTTGACATGCTCCTATTCTTTGAGAAGACTGGCGAGTAAGTTGTCGTGCTTATGGAACTTCATTGTCTTTTTGGATTGGTCCACATGAGCTTTCATTGAATTGCAGACCTGTTCTTTTGGTCCCGAGATTCGGATTGGATGATGGAGCGACTTCTGATTTTGAAGCTACTCTAGTTCTGGCTACTATGACTGTATCGCAGCTATCTGACAGCAATGATGCCCAACAACCAGCTACATCAGCACAACAATACGGGAGAACCAAGGGCTGCTGCTACACCAGTTCCTGAAAATGTCTCGAACCATACTAAAATCTGGTCAGAGCTTTCAGGTGTGTATCTTTCTTGTGAAATGTTGTTTCCAAGTAACCATTGGTATGGTTGCACTACATGCATGCCTTCCTATCCTATGTCCAACTGGACATCATTGTGGTCTGATCGGAACCAGGGCAGGACCAAAGGGCCTATGCAGAGCATAATGGCCATTTCTGGCAATTGGCATTGCCAGTATCAGACCACAATGAATGGACGGTTATATGCCTTGGTGTAATCACACTAACTGGTGACTGAAAAACTGCTTTCATATCTGAATCCTTGCATTGGCTTTATCGCTATACCATCAGGTTAGTTAAATATAAGCAAAACCTTCTTAAACAGGTAGTACTCCCAAAAGCTTTGAAGCTAACAGAGAAAAACATGCCCAGACGCACAGAAATGCAAGCACTAATGTGCTGAATGACAGGTCAATGCTGCCCAATGTTACAAATGCTCCAAGCATGCCACCAGTTGCAGATAATGCAAATAATACGTATCCTATAAGTTGTTTTCACTTAATCCTTGATAATTTATGTTCAATGTTATAATTTGTTGCCACCTGAATTATCAATTCACAACTTCGAATCTGTTGTATTTCTTTTCAATCCTCTAATTAGCTAATCAACATATGTTGTAAGGTAAACCTCACAACACCTTGATAACTGATCTGCTGCATTACAAGAACTGATTTTCTTTTTTTTTCTGTGATGTAAAGAAATTTAAAACTTTTTACATTCTTTATCTGGGATTTTCAGCATCCCTTGACATGGGACATTTCTGCCCTGTGTTTGAAAGATCTAGACATACAAAGCCTACTAGTCTCTGTGTGCTTACCTGTCTTCTGTCTTCCTTGGAGTAAATGTTTCTATACTGATTAGGCAGTTGAAGTTGACTTGCAGAAAACAAAATGGTGCAAACATTTTTTTATAGGGCCTAGATTATACGTTAGGGTCAAACGTACAATCATGCTAGTTGTATAGTTGGACTAAGTAACCTAGTTGAAAATATGTTGATATACAGTCTCTGAGTTTGATGAACTTTCTTGCACAATATGTTGATTCCATAAGAAACTGGCATTAACTATGTGGGGAAAAGTTATGTCTTGCTGTCTAAAGTGCTAGTGTATCTGACGTTCTGAATTGGTTGGCCGATTCAATGAAGTCATATATGCATTTGTTTGGCGTTGATGGACTTTCTGTTTGTTCGTAATCACAAGTTGGTAGCTATAAGATGCTACAGTGAAGTTATTTTCTTTGTGCTTCCTTAACTAGCTTGCACCACAGAATGCAGCCTTCACAAATGGATCACATGGAAGAACATCCTGGTTAATTATCAAACAAAACCATCCATTACGTTATGTCATTAGTTACTGATACATTTCTTCCATATCGAATGTTTAGCTAACTTGCTTTTATGATGTTGCAGAAGTTATCAGCGCTATTCCTCGATCGCAGCATCACCCGAGCAACTGGGTAGGTGCTGATGACAACGACGATGGCAATGAAGATGACGAGGAGCTTTTAGTCCAAACAACACCGCACTATATGGACTGAGGATAAATGCTGATTCTAAAATATGTAGACACATTTTAGCGTAGTGTATAGTGGATGAACGAATTAGGAACTAGCTGAAGGCTTTTCGTTTACTCTTAGTAGTTCTAATAGGGGAGGAGTCGGTGACTTTAACTGAATTTCCCCAGACATGTGACACAGTAATGACTCTCTTAACTCTGTATCCATTGTGACTTGCATTTCTTTTGTAATGTAGAGAAACATTAAGGTTGATTTGTTCCAATTCGCATAAATGTTATTCCTTCTCCATAAGAAAAGAAAACAGTGCATTTGCATCTGATTTCTTCACATTTTTCTACATCCCCGATGTATTTTGGGTGTGCAAAAGCACCTGCTTGTTCATGTGTTGAGTTGCATTTCTCAATACAATAAATTGTGTGCGCGCTCATCATCGCTTTGCTGCAAAAGTGCCCGGGGGCATGGATTTTTTAACTGATTATTTCCCCGTATTTCAACGTATCTGTGAACTTATTATTCATTTGTGTTTGTACAGCAGTTCAACGCCTAACCTAGCTTCCGTTCCATCATCACCTGCTGCCAGGCTCTGTTACGTGTCTATGACAATTTGGTTTTGTTTATGACTGTGTTCCTGCAGCAGTGTGACTAAACAATTTGGTTCTTTCACTTTAACTAGCCTTGGAACACGGTGAAAAGAAACTGAGATCTGGCATGGAAACTGCTTCCTTTTACTAATGGAGGTTTTGCGTCTTCCCAGTATCCTGCACCAGAGGCCATGTTGGTTCAGGCGTGTACCTCGTCTCGCTATCATTGGAATCTATTGTCCCGCTAAATGGTCCGATGTGAATTATCTCATTTCCTAGTCTTTCATTTGCATTCATGAACTCATACGATCATGTTATGACCTACAACTGATTAGGATGTTCGTTGTTTAGAAATTTCCGTGTGAACATCTCTGGTTGGCCTGGATCTTACTTGGCAGTTTATTTTTGAAAGGCTGTTCTAAAATAAATTGTTTTTTAAAGGAATTTTTGGAGGTTGTTTCTTCTGCGTGGCACTGATATTTGTGCATAAAAAGGATACAGCTTTTTCGTCATACGATTGAACTATTAGTAGTGATAGCTTGATTTGTTGAAGCAGGACGCTGCGTCCCACAGGCCATAGCAAGGGAAGCGCTTCTGGATTTATTACTTGATTGCAAGAAGAAATGGTTAGAAGATTTCTATGAGGTCAACCTGCCGGAAGAATCGCGCGCGGGAGCAGGAGGCTGCTAGATGTTTGTGCCTCGCCACGAGACCACGCATTCTCGATGCCCAACGTCGCTCGAGCAAGGTCAGCGTTGGTGGCATCGCCATTCGCCCAGACACGTCCGAAGCCAGCGCCCAGCACCGAACAGAACACTCCCTCCCGGCCTCCCGTTTAAAACCGGAGCGCCCTCCACCGCCCAAGGTGCTCACTCGCCACTGCCAGCTCCACCGTGCCGGCCGCCACCTCGCGCGTACGTCTCAAAGCCCCACGTCCACCATGGCTTCGGCACGTCACACGCTGCTGCTGCCGCTGCTCCTCGCGGCCGCGACGATGGCGGCGCTCGCCGTCTCCGGCAGCGCCACGGCGTCGGAGCTGATGATGTCGACCATCCACGCGCGCGTGGCGGTGGAGTGGGCGTGGTCGGCGGCCGGGGCGTCGTCGTCGTCCGACGACTCGTGCTGGGGCTCTCCCGAGGAGTGCCCCGTCGTGTACGACGTGGACGCCGAAGGCGGCGCCGCCACACCGAGGGGCCGGATGCGGCTGCAGCTGTACGACGACGTGAACACCGTGGGCAGCCTGCTGCCGACGGCGCAGTACCTCAGCTACAGCGCGCTGATGCCGGACTCGGTGCCGTGCTCCGTGCCGGGGATGTCCTACTACAACTGCCAGCCGGGCGCCGACGCCAACCCCTATACACGCGGCTGCTCCGCCATCACCCAGTGCCGCGAGTAGCACACTTGCTCTCTTCTCTCTCTCTGTTTTTTTCCCCGTTCCCGTGGTGTGGCAGTCTCCGGCCGTGGTTTCTTGCTGAGTTGCTGTGTGCTCCTGTCGACCTGTGCGTGTTGCGTTCCCTTCTGGCCATCTGCTGGATGGCCTCATCGCCTGGAGGGTGATGGTTATTAGGTGCTTTTAGCATCCTGATATTCTTGATAAGCAGATCAAAGAAAATGATTACAGGGTAACACATGCGAAGTTCTCTCCTTTCTTTTTTTCCCCTTTGTTGTTCTATCAGCTGCCTGATTTGTTAATTGTTACAGTACTCACGAAGGGCACTGCATTTCTCTCCCGATTGCTATGTTATAAAAAAGCTGTGGTGTTTCATCGCCAACCGCATTGGCTCGGTATAGCTATACGGCCCTAAAGTCCCACGCCCCCACACACATCCCCCAAACCTCCCCACGCCCGCCAACACACATGGAGTCTTGTTTAGGGTGCGTTTCGGTTCCTTGGGATTCTAGCTCCTCAAGACTAAAAATTAGCGAAGCAATCCATTTAGGAATTATTCAATATCCTCGTTCAAGAAGAACCGAACAAGGCCTTAGTTGATCCTAAACCCGCAGGATTGAAATGGATTGAGTTGAGAGCTTCTTCGGTTAATCTTCAATCTGGGGGGTTGAGGGAGAGTTTTACCTCTTAATTCTGTCTAGATCCTTTTGGACTATGTTGACGTCGGAGATGATCCGAATCACACACCAGCAGGGCCTTGGACGTCCAGGCCGCTACGGACCAAAGTATGCAGCGAGGATGTCACTCTTTCGTGGTGAAGAACGGAGATGTTTACGAGCAAACCACCAAAGGATAACCAACGTGCTTACGTGACGAAGAACCGGCTAGTTTTCAGGCAAACTAGCAAAAAAATCGTCGAAGCACTCGCCTAGGAGGGACCCCGTCAGGGCAAGGACATCGCCGGGTTGCCCTAGGTCGGCCGGCAAGTCTAGGGTGCCATCCTTGGTCATGGATCAAGGGATAAACAGCATGGAGGTTAAAGAAAGAGGGTAAAAGGGTTGGAGCAGAGGTAGTAGATTGATTTGTTTGACGATTGGATAGTTGGAAACTCAATCGGTCATGATCCTCTTGTATACATAGAAGGAGAGGTCTTATCCCAGTAGAAAACAAGTCCAGATCATAATCTCCAAGTATTATGATCAGATGAGTTATGCCATTTGCAATATGTAAACTCTTCTAAGTTTTGAATATATGGCAAAGCATCGTGATCAATGATTCTAATAAAATTATTCTTAAGCAAGATATCAAAGACATGATCACAAAAAGTAAAGTCAAAGGTGTACTTTGATTTCCTCAGACGATTCTTTTGCGGAGTCGGCTTTAAAGCTAGGCAAACGAAGGGATCGGATTTGACATCAATCCATTTGGCCACACCTTTGCAATTGCTTTGGGAAAACTTTAGCTTTGATAAACTAGCACTATCGGCCTTGCCATATGGCACAATGTGCTGGCCGATAGAATCTGAATTTATTTTATCATCAACAAATAAATTACCATTCTCAATTGGTCTTTTACAACTACTTCCAAAGATATCAACAATAGATGCAGAGATTAAAATAGTATGACCAGATTAGAATTTCAGCAAAATATTTGTGTTTTCTCCCTTGTTGATCATGTTGGAGAAGTGCACGTCCTTGATTTAAATGATGTTGCTCTTCACCTCTAGAAAACGATCAACAATAGGTGCCGAATCATCCGAAGATGCATCGACGGCTGTCGGAACCGAGAAAGTCGGCTTAGCCGACGGGAAGTCGGTTAGGCCGACTTGGACACTAGCAGGGGCAGTCAGCCTGGCTGACTAGAAAGTCGGCCTAGCCGACTCAAGGTAGGCAGCAATCGGCTCAGCTGATTCTGAGCAGGTAGGTGGCCCTCCTTTCTTGCTTGTAGGGGTTTGATCTCCATCACTGATATAGTAATCACTAGATAAATGCACAACCCCTTTAGCTCCTGAAAAATCAAGCCTAGCTATTTTCTTGCGCTTCTCATGCTTTTCTATAGCAAGACTTGTTTTTTGAGATGTGATTAATTCGGAAAGGATATTTTGTTGTTCGGCTTTTTAGCTGAACATTTGCTTACATCCGAATCAATTCTTTCTTTCATGCCCACTAGCAATCCTCTTTTAGCCGATAACTCAATTGTGATCGGTCTTTTCTCATTAGTCTTTCCAAAATATTCATAGAATTGCTTCTCTAATTGAGACCATGAATCAATAGTACATCAGGACAAAGATGTAAACCATGCAAAGGCAATACAAGTGAGGGATAAAAAAATTAGTATTCTCATATAGTCTTTTTTACTGGCAAAACCTAGCTATAAGAGATATATATTAATGTGTTTCTCAGCAGTCTTATCATCTTTACCACTAAATTCATAAAAATCAGCTACCCACCAACCATTAGGGGTTTTCAAGTAATCAATGTGTAACGGGTATGGTCTATGATACGTGGGCACCTTCCATTTAGAGGAGCCATATAGATTTCTAGTATGGGCTAAATCTTCATCGATTCGGCTTAATTTGATAGCAACATATGAAGCCGAATCATGATTATTTGTATGTGCACACATTGCTGAATTTTCATTGATTCGGCTATAATTATTAGCAATATGTGGAGCTGAATCATGAGTTTTAGCACTTGAATGCCTTGTTGAAATTTCACTAATTCGGCTATGGTCATGAGCGAAATACAAAGCCGAATTATGGGCATTGATCTTTGCATAAGGTGCTGAATTTTTATTGATTCGGCTATGGTTACTAGTAACACGTGAAGCCGAATCACGAGTATTAGCACTTAAACACTTTGCTGAATTTTCATTAATTCAGCTCGAGTTAGGGAGTAACATGTGAAGCCGAATTATGAATAGGAGCATTGGCATATGGTGCTGAATTTTGAGAGCAATTGGATAAATAATTAGCATTGTCGTAACCAATTCTCTCAGTCATTGGCATGTCTTGTGGTGAAACCACATATTGTGAACTTATAGCCGATGAA